AACAAGTGAGAAATAATAAATGACGCTACCACAGAGGACGCTGTTCTGTGCTGTGGACGCTAGTTAAACGATTGGTCGATTCGAGTATAGTCGGAAAGCCGAATCTGTTAGTTAGGTAGATGAGTTTGTTAAGGCTATAGCCTAATAATATATTATACTAATACTAATACTAATATTATACCTAATAATATATTATACAACTTCTTAAGGTCTTTAGATAATTTAAGGTGGTTCACAATCTTATATTATGTGTTCACAATTGACTAGTAATGGTTATTAAGACAAGTTTTAATAAGGTCGTCTATTAACCATATTTAGTTATTTATCACTGGCATTAAAATAATTTAAAGAACAGCGACATATTAATCTGAGTTTATGGTGGTATTTAGATATTTTATGATTGTTAAAATATAAATATAGATGATCTATATTTTTTGTTTGGACAATTTATTAAAACGTATCTATTAGTCACCTTAATTCGTCTTCATGTCACAGATAGATAATTTGTACTGGTTATTAGATATATTTTGAACACTATCTAGATAATTTCATTAAGATAATTTAAGATTGGAATTTTCTCAGTGTGGCCCCTAGAGAAACTCTTTGCTGGTTGATGGACATAGCAGGCCCGGCTTTTAAATTTCTATTTAGGTATTTCATTATTTTTTAATTTTCTAAAAAAAACACAAATTTAAAAAAATATTTACATATATTTACAAAAATAAAAATGTTGATACTTCCAATAAGTGGTACAGAACATAAATGAAAAATAAAAATTATTTAGTCACATAACGACTAAATAATAGTAAAAAACCGAGGTAAAAACAGTAATTTGAAAATTATTAAAAGCAAGCATAAGTAATAATAACAATATTATATCATTGATTATAGTAATACTATTCCTATCCTTATCACTTCATTACCTGATTCTACAAGGAAAGGTGTACACAATTTCATAGTGCTTAATAAAATACGAAATTACATTAATTTTCTATGAATATTTAAGATCTTTTTAAGAATTTAACAGGTTTAACAATATTAGGGGTTTGTTAACAATACTAACTTAGCATAATAATATTATTAACAGAACACTACATAAGATGTTCTTTAAAAAGAAGTTAACAATTGTTACTTACACTTTAAAGTGTATTGGAGTAAATTAATTACAAACTGGCCTTAACTAAAAACTTAATAAAATCACTTGAGTCTAACTATAGTTATGTAGATAGAGTTAATTTTTTATTTATAAATAAAAAATTAACTCTATCTACATATCTATCTATAGTATAGATTCTATAACTCAGAGCCAAAGTACGTTAAGTCCAAAATTTTAAATATGACCAATCAAAATTTAAACCAGTTTTTAATATATATTAATAATTTATATTTTAAAACTATTTTATATATAAATTAGTTTAAAAATATTATATAATTCTCTTAAAATAAAGTTTTTAATTTATACTTGTACAATATTATAGGATTCAAAAAAAGGTATTTAATATATTGAAAACTTGTTTAAATTTTGATTGATTATATTTAAAATTTTGGACTTTCATCTAGAGATATAATAACTGCATTACCTACAAAAAAGTCCATCAGTCTTAAAAAACTCTATAACTTACAAAAAAAGAGTAGTAAAAGCAAATTTAATAATAAAAAGTTACTTTTACAAAAATAAATTAATAATAAAATATAGGTACCTAATTGTTTAGTATTTAAAAAAAAAAAATTTAATATAGGTAATGATTTATTATTTCCTTACAAAAATAAGAATATGCATATCATTTAACTTTTATGTTATCCTTTAACTTGAAGATATTAAAAAATGCAGTACAAAATTTTTGACATATTTTGGTTTATGTTCTTAGGATAGTGGCACATAATATCTATAATATGGATAAATATTATGTAGCCTACTTAAGTAGGGTTTATGTCTGCCTGTTGGTGTACAATGGATTCCTTATTCAAACTTGGGGGTTGTGTTGCATTTATGTAAGGTTTATGTTCTTAGGGTAGTGTTATACCTATACATTTCATATTCCAACTTTAATTGCATTCAGTTTATATTCTCAGGTTGGTGTCCCATGGCTTCCATATTCCAACTCCTTTTAAAAATTAAAAATTTAATTAACATAAAATTTAAAGCAAAAATATATTGGGCAATTTTTGGTAAAACAATAATATAACAGACATTAACACTGATGAAATTTAAATTTAAAAAATTCTACCTTTTTTAAATTTTTTTAAAATGTTCCACTGTTAAATTCTTTTTGGATGCATTTTTCTCATTTATGTATCTAAATGGATGTATTTAAATGTACACATTATTCAAAAAATTTTATGTGGCTATTAATAATTATGTTACAATATTATTGCAATGACTATAATAATAATTAGTAAACTTTGGTTAAAAAATAAGGTAACAAACCTATAAGATTTAACATTTGAAATAAAACATAACAAATTGTTGTTATTAACAATTTAAACTGCTTCTAATATTTTTTCATTCCAAATAATTTTGTTTGTAAAGTATTGATTATAATTTTTACTAATATATTTTAGAACACTGACAAGTTTATAATATTGCTTTATTTGTATTGCCACAAGTTAATAACCGAATTATTCTTTTTTATGAACCAACTGGACTTCAGTAATAGAAAACCAAGGTTTGCTAAAAAGCTGACAATTAAACAAAATACTTACGTTTTAAACTGTACACAGTTAAATAAGCCTTCTTAAGAAGTTCTTATAAGCAAACAGGACCCAATGGCACACAAAACATGTCCGACTTTTTTTCACCATGGCCGAGTTTTGGAAGAATCAAGCAACAAAGCATACGTGTATGTGTGCTTGGTTGCATAATTTTGTACCAACTGGCAACTCATCGATTAGGAGTCATGTTTTCAGTTTTGCCAATTCTGTTTCACCCCTTGTCACATACTATCCTTCGAAGGATACATAAAAGATCTTGTATGTTTCTCTCCTTTGTCTAACTTAGTGTCGGTGACACTTTCGCATCATGGATATTTTTATTTTTTAATTATCTTGACTACTTTCACCTTTCGGCATCCTCAGGGGGTACTGAAAACATACAATATTTAGTAAAACACACATTTAAAATAGATATTAAGTGCATACTCATCAAATTATACATAAAAAGGTCATCTAAGATATTAATTCTATTATTTCAAAATTTAAAATGTTTAAAGGACTGGTTGGAGATGCTGACATGTATTACTGTTGCCCTGGGGAAAATTTAATGGTCATGCTACAAATCTATCCTAAATTGACCAACTGTTTCTACTTTCAACTTTGAATAGGTAATTGGAATTCTACAAAAAAAAACTTAATTTTATTATAAAAAATATTTTTAAACTTACATGTCAAAATCACTTCTTACAACCATAGAATAAAAATACAACATCACTTGTCAATGTTTTCAAGTATTCATATAAATACAAATTACCATTTTAAAGTACTGTCTGTCCACTCTAAGTTGGCTGAACTAAGGAATTTTGTTGTTTAGATATTAAAGAATTGTCGTACTGTGTGCTTTTAAAACAGATTTTATATTATAAATAATATTAGTATATAATATGTACTAGTATTATTTATAATATAAAATCTGTTTTAAAAGCACACAGTACGACAATTCTTTAATATCTAAACTACAAAATTCCTTAGTTCCGCCAACTTAGAGTGGACAGACAGTACCTACCTAAGAATAAATAACTTTTTAAATTTTGTTGCTTAAACTACTATACTGTATATACATCTACAGGCATCCCAGATCGAACTTTGTTTGCATTTAAGAAAAATCGCTTTTTCCTAATGAAAAATGTGAACCAAACCTTACCAATTTGATGTTTAAAGTGCGACGATGCCACACATTTTCGATCTGGTGAGCTTCGAAGGTCATGTAAATTTTCGATCTGGCGAGATTCGATCTATTGAGTTTCGATGCAATGAGCTGCTCCCAATTTATCAACACCAAAAATAAATAAATCGATTTATTTGTCGTAATTTACATAATTTTGAGCTTACATCTAAATAAAATTATTATTATAACTTAAAATGAAGTATATATCACAAAACATTTAATGGCTGCCTTTTTATTACTTTTTGCCACCTGAAAATAGAAAAATATTTATTATCTTTGTTTGTTTTGTTGTTTTTTTATTAAATACCTTTTTTGGCAACTTTGGGGGCTTCTTTAGTAGCCACTTTCGTTTCAGTTTTTCCAGCAGCAGGCTTTTTCTACAAAAAAAATAATATAACTAACAATTTTATGAAAATAGTATTTTTTACATCTGCCGCAGGCGCGTTTCCTTTATTTCCACCTTTGCCTTTACCCATTGTATAAAATAAACCAATTTCACTAATTATACGCACTGTATTAAAGGTAATATCAAGTGCAAATGCCTATTTTTAATTTTTGGCGACGATTTGTTTTGGTATTTATTGACCTCAACGACCTCTAAATTACACAAACTACCACCCTTTAAAGCAAATGTCTATAATTTCCTTTAATGATTTTTATTGCATACACTGATAGAAAACTGGATTTTAAAAAATAATATAGAAAATTCTACAATTTAAAATTCGCGCGCTTAAGTTGGCCACACTGCACATTATTGACAAATCGCTAGAGAAGAAGAAGAAGAGGTGTTGCTTGAGTTAAACTAGGGTTTGTTTTCTTCGTTTTATTTGACAATTTTAACGTTTTCATTGACGAAAGTCAACATATATGTTGCTGGAGCAGTAAATAAAACCGTGTGAGTTAATATTCTGCTTTAATACGCTATAAAATCAGACAAATATGTTAATGTTTGTTAGTGACATAACCTCAATGTTACGTTTTTAGAATACTGTGTTTTTTTCGTTATAATATACTGAAAATTCTAGGTTTTTATGTCTATTAGGATTGGGGATTGAGGATATATTAAGTCCTTTTTTCAAGTTGTACATTAAAATATATAAATGTGGAGTTTTTAGGTAAAATGTCGGATTCTGAAGCTAGTAACTTTTCGGATAACGAAAATGCCTCGGAGGCGGGTTCAGTGAGATCAGGTTCTCGTAGCCGATCAAGATCGGTTTCCAAATCTCGATCTAGATCTCCAAGTAGGTCTAGAAGTAGATCAAGGGGTCGAAGTAGATCACGATCCAGATCGAGGTCAAGATCTGGTAGTAGATCTGCTAGATCAGGGTAAATATTTAATATTTTAGCAGCAGAAGAAGGAGAAATTTTTTTTCTTTTAGTTCTGAAGCTCGCGAAGCTTCTGGTAATGAAGAGGTTGCTGATGAGGAGGAACCTGAAGGTGATAGTTTAAATGAGTATGACAGTGAAGAAGATGAATCGGACGATGGTAGACATGCTAAAAAACGTAAAAAGGATAGGTTTCGTGATTTTATTATTGATGAAGCTGAAGTTGATGACGAGGTAAGAATTATATGAAATATTTTTGACAAAAATTTTTTTGTTGAGGTGATTGAATGGGAAATTTATACTTTTAATAGTAGTCAAATTTTGTTTCCAAGATTTTTAATTTTATTTTAGCAAATTGAAATAAAACTTAGATTACTATATTTCAGGGTTCAAAAAAATCAATAATTTCTATTAAAAGCTTTTCTATGCATATGAATTTATTTGAATAGTGTCAACATATTATTGTGCTTTAGTTTTAGAAACTTTTTTAAAATCTGATTCAAATCATTGATAAAAAAAAATCACTTGATTTAAATCAGGTGAACCCTGCTATATTTTGTATTTTTACAAAATAGCCCGTTTTTTATTAAATGACATTTTATTTATTATATTTTTACCATTTTAATGATATTACAAAAAAAACTTATTTTTACAATTAAAATTTTAGTTAGGTATAAGAAAAGTAGTTTTTTGACACTACAAGTTGTAGTCTACAACCATATTAAATATGGTTAAATTTTGAAGATATATATTTAATTATAAGAAAAGTAGATGTCACTCTTACTTAAACTAGTCAAACCATATTAAAAATTTTCAAATTTCTTAAATTACTATTTAAAAAAACTTAATTTAATTTTAGAATCTTAAAAGTTTTAAAACTCATTTTATAGAATGTCAAATAATATTTCTTGCAAAATATACAGTTTTTTTAGTCCTAGTAGTAGTAGTAAAAATTTCAATGTTTGCCTTAAAAATCATTTTTTATAAAGATTTACACTTTTTTTCAAAATATGTTAATTTTCGATAATTTGCCTAATTATTAGTTTTAAGGCAAGTTTTATTATTAAAATTGAATTTTAATAAAATTTGTAAATTTTAATAAAATTTGTAAATTAGGAAAATGAATTAAAGTATTATTGGAAAATCTACGTTTTTATCCAAATTCTAGTTAGTATTGTAAATTGTTAATTGTAAAAATCTCCAGTATAGCCTTAAAAATGCACTTTTTTTAATACAATTTTATTCTTTTTTATAAAATTTGAAAAAATCCTTAGTCCCAAAATCTTTTTTGTGTAAAATATACACTTTTTTACAAAATTTGTTTATTTTTAATGAAATTTGTAAAATGGAAGAATTAATTAAAAAAAGTATTTTCGGAAAATCTATATTTTTATCCAAATTAGTTAGTTTAATTGTAAAAATAAGTTTTATAGCCTTAAAAATCATTTTTATGAAAAAATGCACTTATTTTAATAACGTTTTATTCTTTTTTATAAAATTTGTAAAAATCTCTGTTAAAAAGTCCTAAAATCATTTTTGTGAAAAAATATACACTTTTTTACAAAATAAGTTCATTTTTAATAAAATTTGTATTTTTTTTTTAAATTTATCCAAATTCTAGTTAGTTTAATTGTAAAAAATCACAGCTATAAGCCTAAAAATTATATTTATAAAAAATTCACTTTTTTATAAAATTTGATTCTTTTTTATAACATTTGGTTTAGGATTAGTTTTAATGCCAGTTTTATTATTAAACTCAATTTAATAATCTTTTTATACAAAAAACTAAAATGTTAAAATTATATATTCAAATTTTTTTTTATTCAGGGTAAAGTTTTTTAAAAACTTTATAATTTTCCCTTATAATAAGAATGAGCAAAATTTAATTGAAAACATGTGAGTGTTTACAACAATTAGTTGCAGTGTTTTTACTAAATTTAGCGCATTTATCATTTCCTTATGGATTTATTATCTTTTTGTATTAATAAATTAACACTTTTAAACTATCTAAAAGGTTGAAGACGAAGATGAATGGGAAGACGGAGCCCAAGAGATTGGAATTGTCCCCAATGAAGTGGACGAATTTGGTCCGACAGCCAGAGAAATTGAAGGGAGACGAAGAGGAACTAACCTTTGGGAGTAATTTTTTAAAACTTTAAAGCTTTTTTTCGTTAACCTGTAACTTTTTAGCGCTCAGAAAGAGCATGAAATCGAGGAGTATCTAAGGAAAAAGTATGCTGATGACAGTGTTGCCGCTAAACATTTCGGAGATGGTGGGGAGGAGATGTCCGACGAGATTACTCAGCAAACTCTGTTACCTGGTGTAAAGTGAGTAATGCAATTTTTAAACGATTTTAAGGTTTTTAAATTTTTGAGATTTCCTCAGTCTTTTGGTATAATTGTTCATTTATAGTTTGTTTTTTTAAATTTTATACAAGTTTTTATGTCTTACATATATGGGTTATTATTTCTTAAATTTGACCAATATTGAACATTACCTCATTAATTTAGCTCTAATTTTATATATGGTACCAAAATAGGCCTATATTTAACATGTTCAAATTAAAAAAATATATTTAAGGAATTATTTAGGGGGGTAATTTTTCCAATTTTTTTGTTTGCCTCTGCAAAGCTTTATAAATAATAAAATAACAAAACTTCTACAAAAGCGGAAGTAAATTTTTTCATCATTGTAAAAAACAATAAATACAGCCCCAGAATAATTTGTTTCCGTCTTTTAGCTTTTCAAAATGGCGGATTAAAGGTCAAAACATAAAAAACTAAAAAATCTAATTCCAAAAAAGCATATCATTTGATTATATTCATATTGATGTTCAAAACCCTTAGAGTTTATGCTCATACAAAATATTCACAGGAATCAAAGAATTGAAAGTGATGGAGCAGTGGTGCCCATTTTTGTTGTGTCAACTTGTACAAAAAAATAAATAACTTAAAAGAATGACCCACACATTTCATGGTTGGCAAAATTTAAGTTACCAACATACTTAACCATTTACCAAATTTTATGTTTCTATAATGCAAGTAATGTCGCCAATGTAGCTACAATAATGTAGCCAATGTAGCTACAATAGAACTTAAATACTTTTAAAACGTTGAAAATTGTATCCCTTTCTAGAGTTATATGAGTGCTTATTTATTAAAAAAAATATATTTTTTAAATAAACAAGTTTCTAATAACACCTCACAGGTTACTTTGGCAATAGCAATGAATAGTTTGGCCACATCAATGAGTAGTGTCGTGCCGTGCTATGAACAGAGGCGGTAACTGCAATTTAAAGTAATAAAGGACAAACGATAATTTGTATTTTTAAAAACAATATAAAATTACTTTCGAGTATTTCCATTGTAACAGGTGTGACACTGAAAGTGGGTTTTTTCATAATATTAATGTGTTTGTTCATATATGAGGAGGTGCCAGAGCTGCAAGCTCTCAAAAAACTTAAATCGTTTTTTTTTAGTTAAATCGTTTTAATGACTTAAGTCATTTGGTAATAAGTCATTTCTCTAAAACTGACTTAAGACTTAAAATTTAAGTAATTTTCAAAATGATTTGTGACTTAAATATTTTTTTCAAAATAGAAAAAACTTAAGTCATTAATAAAAGGCTTAAATCAGTACATACGATTTAAGTCATATAGAAACGATTTAAGTCAAAAAAGATTTAAGTCTTTATAAAAGTCGGTAAATTATTTAAGTAATTTAAAAATATTTAAGTCTTTTTGAAAAAGATTTAAGTCTTTTTAGAAAATATTTAAGTCAGATTTTTTATATTTTTTTTTATAAATTTTCTTTTGAACTGCCAGGGGTTCACGCGGCAGCAGATCAAAAACTCCTTTAATTTCCTACCTACAATTGCTACCGCTAGTGAATAAAAAAACCGCCGCGGTAAAGTTAGCTTTTCGGAACCGTTTGACGGCTACATTATTAATGTCCTGTCTAAAATAAATGAAAAAAAAATGCGGATTTATAATTTTGTTATTTTGTTTGCCAACATTCGTCGTGTTATGCGTGCGTAGTTAGGTCTAATTTGTAACTTTTATCTATTTTAACAGAGTTTGAATCTATTACCATTTATGTATATAAAAAAGTAGCCTCCCTGTATGTACTCTACTAAAAAAGGTGGTTTAAGTTTCTTTTTTGATTGTCTAATATATACTCAAAAAATGTGTTTTAACTTTTTATTTTGTTTGTAAGTGTTCTGAAAATAAATCGTTTTAAATTCTTAACATAGTGGTTTATTATCATCTGTATCTACAATAGATTAATAATATCAGTATCATTAATACCATAAAATTATTATTAACATTTAAAAAATCGTTGTATTGACTTAAGGGTAATTATTTTGATTTAAATCACAATTTTTGATTCAAGTCATTTTATTGACTTAACCCTTAGATCACGATTTAAATAAAAAATATAGACTTAAGTCATAAAAACGACTTACTAAAGGAATTAAGTCATAAGATGACTTAAACCACTTTATATTGATTTAAAAATTTGCAAAAATGACTTGACTTGAAAGAAAATGATTTAATACAAAGACTTAATACTTAAATCATTTGAACTTTATCTTAGAATTGACTTAAGATTTAAATCATTTTGATTTTAGAATTGACTTAAGACTTAAGATTTAAGTCTTTTTAAAACTGACTTGTTGCAGCTCTGGGAGGTGCATTCCAAAACTTGGCTTATTCATATTAGGTGATTTTGAGCAAAATGAGTTTTGGAATGGACCTTCTCATATAAGTTAATATACAAAAATAGTATAAAAATTATATATTTAACACAAACAAAATGTCAATAAAATCTTGTATACAAAACCTTAGAAAATCGGCAAATGCGAAGTTGGCTTCTAAAGTGTATACTGTAAAATTTTGGATGAAAGCATATAGTAATAATGTTTTGTGTAAAACTTGAATAGTAACCTTAAACAAGCACGGGTTTTAAATGCACAAATATTGTATACTTTTCTAAAAGTTTCTCAAAATGTAACGGGTGCAACATTTGAACTTTTTATCGAGTATTAAAACTCTTCCGTGTTTTTTCTTAATGTTAACTTCTTAGCATCACAATGTACGAATATTTTAATGTTATAAATTACGTCGCAATTAAACTATTTAACTTCAGATATGGTTTTGGTTTTATTTAATAACACATCTGATTTTTTGTCAAGGGGGGTAAGGTTTTGCGGAAATAACGTTTTGTCCTTTATTATATAAAGTTAAAGTGGGTAAATGTGATAACGGGGTACTTGTAAATATCAATTATTTATTCCTGTGAAATCGAGAGCAGAGCAGCAATCTGGCCAGTATTCAAAATACAATACTTGATCATAACGCCATTACATAAATCTAAAACTCAAGTTGAAGCCGGTATTTTTTATAATATTTGATAACTGTTTAGTTTTGTAAGCAAAATTTACAAAACCTATACTGATCTATAAAAAAGGAGTCTAATCTTACAATTACCCCAGCCAATATAGAAATGGGATTTTGCATTGACATAGTGACATGTTCTTTAAAAATCACCATAACTTTTTTTCTTTGTATTGTCACCTGTTTCAATAATTGGCGCCATTTGAAACAAAGTCATAAACCTACCGTATTTTTTGCAATTTTCTGCCTGCAATATTTACAACTTTAAAGCTAATTTATTTAACTATTCAAAAACTACAACAGAATTACCCCTACTTACCTTACTTAATATTGCAGTTACTGCCTCTGTGCTTAGCACAGCAGTATAGTGGGAAATATTTTGCACATTAAATATTATTCCCAATAATTTATTGAGTGTATAGGGTAGTTCTGCGCATCAATGGTTACTGTTTTATTTTATCCGTGTATTTATAAAGTAAACCTTTATAGCCATAACATTACTACTTTAAGCCCTTTTATAAATTTTCTGTGAAAAAAACAAACAAATTTGTGACATTAATGTTTTAGAAATATTTTTTAGCAGTATCTTTAATGTAGATGCATACCCAGGAAGCACACTGACGTCTGCTGACGTTTATATGACGTTGCTAACGTTATTTAAACGTCAGAAGACGTCATATAAACGTCAGCAAACGTCAGTGTGCTACCTGGGTATATGTCTAATTATTACATATCATTATTTTAAATATTTTATATATTATAATAGTACATTATAAATCAGGCGGAGGGAGCTCATATTATAGCCGAGGCGCCAGCCAAGTTAGTAGATTGTTGCAAGGCAATTAATAAGCTTTTACCGCCGTCTTTTATATACTTTTTTTAAAGCATTTAATTAGAATATTTCTTTAGGCTATTTTTCCAAACGTTGGTATAGATTATAATCTGACTTTACAAAATGTAAATTTTACTGATAATACCTGAAATCCGACATCTGCTAAACAGTTCTAACTTTACTTTTTCCCAATTTTAAAGATCATTATATTCGCCCCTCGTATACTATCATATAATCTGACGTCAGACGGTTTTAACTTCACTTTCTTCCAATTTAATATAAAAATGTAGTGTATTTTATGCGGAGTAATAGTATTTTAGTACTCCCGATGATGAAAGTTTTCGAGCGAGTCAATAGGCGAGTGAAGGAATTCATTGAGGGAGTAATTGCGATTCCACGCGAGGTAAACACTATACTTTTTGGTCGAGTGGTGCTAATTATTAATTACATTTTAGAATATTAAAAAAAAGTAACGTTTAATTAAATACTGTCGTTTACATTCGTTCGTTACAAGTCGTTCCAATTAAGTTAATACGCTTACCTACTTCAATACGAAAATTATGAAATTTCATCGGTTCATCAAGTTTCAACTTTGTACGTCTGACGGAGAAAGTTAAAATAATAACTCATCCGTCACTACACATGAGAAGCATCCGTGCAAAACCGGCTATAACCATTTTAATAAAATGGTGGGAAAATGGCAAAAACTCCCCGTTTACTGGCCTTTACAGATAAAAAAGATGTACCTTAATTAAGTTTTCTTTTATTAGGCTATACATTAAATAAAAAAAATCTCAAGAAATATTTCTATAAAAGTAAAGATAATTTCAATATTTGAGAGGTGTGGACCGGACAAGATAAATATTTTTTTTTGTCCCGTCCACACCTTTCAATTATTAAAATTATCTCTACTTTTATAAAATATTTCTTGCGTTTTTTTATTTAATGTATAACCTAATAAAAGATAACAATTTGATGCAAAAATAATATATAATAAATTCCCTACAATTTTTTTTGTACAATTTTGTAATTCATGAGTTTCGAGCGCTTGAAATGGCCGTGCATTAAGGTTTCAATACACATTATTTAAAAAATGAGGAATGTGTTTAATTTTTATTATGCATTACTTTTTTAAAAGGAAAATTAAGTTAATTACTCATTACATTTTTTTCAATGAGTAATGTATTCTTTTTGATATTACTCATTTTTAATTTGTAATGAGTATTTTGAAATTTTATTACTTATAAGTAATGTACTCACTTAACATTACTCAGTTTTTTAATTTTTTATGAGAAATGAATGATTATCGAATTACTCATTTTTAGTGGACAAGGAAGATATTTTTATTGCATGACACATTTTTTCAATTTTTGTTTTGAATTATTTGTTTACTAATAACAGACATTCAAAGTTAATTAATTATTCGTTCATACCATCGCGGATTCAATACTTTTTTGAGTTAAGGTCGCCTTCTCACCAAAATTTGCATGCAAATATGCTTTTGATAATTTTGATACAAGAAAATTTTAAGAAATACAAATTTCAATTTAAACCATTAGAAAAATTAGCAGCAAAAAAACTAAAAACGCGATTGCTTTGAAAATTTGATATCTTTTGAACGAGTAATATTAAACTTTACCGGAAAGGGATTTTTTATGGGTACTTAAAAATATCGAAAAATAAAAGAAGTCAAACTGTCAGACTTGGTGTAAAATGCCCCATATAAAAAATCACTCCTTCAACCCTTTCCCTGATCATTTTTCACTGATGTAATGTATTGTTTGTATCATGGATGTAATGTGTAATGTACGGTCTCTCTGAGTATTACCATTAAAAAAATGACGATTGCATTAACATTTTTGCAACTCTGATTATTAACCACTCGACAAAAAAGTGACTTTTTGTGACAGACAGACTCGCCAGAAAAAGTCACTTTTGGTTTTAATTTTTTTTTTGGCTGTTTTTTTAATTTTTTTTATAATTAAGGAAACATATTTCACAATTAATCATAATTTTAGAGACCCAAATCTGTGGATGGTAAAATGCCGCATCGGCGAGGAAAAATCCACGTGCTTGCTGCTCATGCGCAAATTCCTCGCCTACCAAAACACGAACGAACCCCTCCAAATAAAATCGGTCGTAGCGCCCGAGGGCGTCAAAGGCTACATCTACATCGAGGCCTTCAAACATCCGCACGTCAAGGCGGCCATCGAAAACGTCGGCAACCTGCGCATGGGCATGTGGAAGCAGCAAATGGTGCCGATCAAAGAGATGACGGACGTTTTGAGGGTGGTTAAGGAGCAGACGGGGTTGAAGTCCAGGCAGTGGGTGAGGTTGAAGAGGGGGTTGTACAAGGACGATATCGCGCAGGTGGATTATTTCGATATGGCGCAGAATCAGGTGCATTTGAAGTTGCTGCCCAGGATTGATTATACAAGGTTGAGGGGCGCGTTGAGGACTACGCAGTCGGTGAGCTAAAGAATGTTTTTTTTTACAAAAAAATTGATTAGTAAGTTTTAGTGAGTTTTAATGACAAAATCTACACTTTTTTACAAAGTATGTTTATTTTTTTTAATTTTTTTAGAATAGGGGAATTTTTTGGAATATCTTCGGTTTTTTTTCAAATTGCAGACAGTTTTATTGCCTAAATCACAGTTTTATGGTTGTTTTAATGAAAAATGTGTGTAGTTACGTTTAAGTTAAGCGGCTTAACTTCAAGAATTAATAGCAATGTCAATCTAAACCATGAAAGAGAACGTATACACTATCTACTTAAAATAATGATAATCTCGAAAATCAATTTTGGACGCTCACGTCACATAATATTATTATGTTTATTTTTAATTAAAATTGTGAAATTAGAAGAATATTGTTAAGAAGAAAGTATCAGTTTTATTGTAAAAATTACAGTTTTAAAGTTCTAAAAATTATTTATGCGAAAAAGCATGCCCAAAAAAAATATGATTATTTTTAATAAAATTTATGAAAACAACTTTTGTACAAAATCTGCCTGTTTCATTGTAAAAATCAAGATTTTAAAGTGGATTCTTTGGATTTTAATAAAAAAATTCAGTTTTAAAGTCTTAAAAATTAAGAGAAAATATGCACTTAAAAAAATATTATTTTTTTTTATAAAATTTTAACTCATTTTTTTATTGTTATTTTAAACATATTTTGAGTAATTTAAGAAAAATGTAATTCTTGTTAAATATATGGAATTTTCCCGTAAAATGGAATTTTTTCTTAAGGAATCTGAAGCAGAAAAACGAAAGAAAAAAAGAAGACCACCAAGCAAACCTTTTGACCCAGAAGCCATTAGAGCTATTGGTGGTGAGGTCACGCAAGATGGTGACTTCCTTATTTTTGAAGGAAACAGGTAAAAAAACATCATTATTATTATTCCGTAAATTCTCCATATCATCTTTCAGATATTCCCGAAAAGGTTTCTTGTACAAGAACTTCACCATGAGCGCTGTTCTCATAGAAGGAGTGAAGCCAACTTTGGCAGAACTCGAAAGATTTGAAGAACAACCGGAAGGAATCGATTTGGAACTTCCGACAGAAAAAGAAGACAAAGCTGTAACGCATTCTTTTAGTGCTGGAGACAATGTGGAAGTTTCAGAGGGAGAATTGATTAACCTACAGGTAAGTTAAAAATACACATTTTTTTTTGCAAAATATGTTATATTCATATTCAAAGATATGCATTTGAAAAATATCATTATTTTTTATAAAATTTGTTTAAATATATATTAGCTATAAGTATAGTTTTATATTAAAATCTGTTTCAAAAATCATTTTTGTGAAATAATTTACAATTTTTTACAAAATTGTTTTATTTAAACACGTTGACTGCCTTAAAACATAAACGTGACGTCTCAGTTTTTCTGGTGTGTAAGACGTGGTTCTGTTTTAACTTTTAGCCAGAAGACCGATTTTGTTTCCACATTAAATTTGTGGTATCAAAGAAAAATAAATATTTAAAAAAATCGACGGTTTTTTTTAATTCTAGGTAATTTCATTTTAAAAATAATTTTTATGAAAAAAAAAAATAAAAACTAAGAAGCTTCTTTTTTGTGACAGAAAATATTTGCTCGAGTTTTTTACGGGAGATCCGCGGATTTATAGAATTGTCGGTTGACTCCCTTAACTTATACTACAACGAAATATGTTTTTTCTTTAAAATAAGATTAGTTTTTATAAAATCTGTTTAGATATAAGTTTTGACGCCAGTTTAATTATAGGTCACTAAAAATTTAAGATTTTATTTTTTTAATCGTAAGGGCATAAATTGAATAGTATTTTGGTTTTCGGATTAATCCGAACAACCCCCGCCAACTTGAAAAAACCCCCAACGTTTTTCTTTAAAAACAAACAACATACTTTATCAAGACAAATTTTAATTCAAGATGAATTACTTGCATTGGTTTACAAAAAGTTATAAACAAACCACTTAAATATTTTTTTCAATCTATTGTATCCATATCAACAAAATATTTAATTTTAACAATAATAAGTAATAAAAAATGATTTTTTTTAACTTTTGGGTGAATTATTGTTGCATTGATACCTTAGAGGCCCAGTAAACCAGCAACAGAAAGAAATGCAGTTTTATTTTTAGATTTGGGCGGAGCTTAAAAAATCGGACAGGTCCTAGTTTAATGTAATTATTTAATACAAAATTTGGCAAATTTAAGCGTTAAAGCGTGTTTGTAACCGTTAAAAATAACGTATTAGCTTAGAATTTTAACTTATTGTATATCATATGGTTAAAACGCAAGTTTGGTATTTTATAGGAAAAAAACATACAATAGCAGTTTGCTTATAAAACGGGGCAAATATCTTTATTAATAACGTATACTAATGAGATTAGATTAACAAACTATATTAAAATTTAATATACAGGGTGTTTCACCTAACTTATTCATTAGAAGTTTATGGAGAACGGAAAAAGATATAGTTTTGAAATTTGTATAGCAATTATAAGGCAATGGAAACTATTTTTTAAAATTATTTTCAATGCGTTCTCTAAACTTTGGTTTTTCAAATAGAACCATATAAATATTATTGCATTTTTAAATTCTACGTAAAATTCTAGAAATGGTGAATCACCCTGTATATTTAATTCAGTTAATCTAAGCAAACTTTGCTATTTTATAACTATTAAAATAAAAATAAATTATTGAATTAATATATATATATATATATACATATATATATGTATATATATATATATATATATATATGTATATATATATATCAGGGCTCCCACACCTCCTAAAACTCATAAAATTCCTAAAATTTGGCTCAAATCTTGAAAACTCCTAAAATTCTCCTAAAATGGCATTCAATCTCCTAAAACTCCTAAAATCCTAAAAATTAAATTTAAATAGACTTGCGTTTAATTAAGGTAGTGCTAAAAAATTTTTATTTAAAAATATATATTTTTAGGTTCTATTTTATTAATTTTTTTTAAATGATATAATATCACAATCAAAATTTTTCTTAAAAAACAACAAAAAACTTCTACAAAATTGTAATTTTTAGCGATATTTAGTTTTTTTTAGTCAAATACGTACCATGTTATATATCAAACAAAAGGATTTTTAATTTCCTTTTAAATGACAGCTAAAATAGTAAACAATCTAAAGAATGTTTAGCTGTATTTTGCAAACTTTATATTTTGTTATGAGATTTTTAAGTATTAAGATCCACATTACAATTAAATCGGTGAGAATAAGAACAGTACTAGTCCAAAAATTTAATTTTGACAATTTATTTTTTAAAATCAATTTTAAAGTTTAAAATACAATTTTGTGAGAAGATATAAATTATTTTACAGAATATGAATATTATATTTCATAAAATAGTTAAAATATTCTAACAAAAATGCATTTAGAACTATAAAACTGATTTTTTGAAATATTTTATCAAAAATTTTACTTTTGGACTTGTACTATTCTTAATCTTACCGATTTAATTACTGTTAGTTATTAACTAAACGGTTAACATATTTTTTCTTAAAATATAAATATAACATCATTTGATTTTGGCATACTTTTTTAACCAAATCTATCGACGCATTTTTTTAAATAAAATTAAAAGTGTGGTGAAACTTATACTTGTATATATATGTACCTCAGATATATAAAAAAGTAGTAATTTTACCTCACTTTTAATTTTATTTAAAAAAAACTCGTCGAGCGATTTGGCTAAAAAATCAATAATATTATTCTTACAAAATAAGTATCAATTTTTTCCTTAGAGTTGTTTTTATTTAATTAAAGAAATTCATTTCCATACTTTATTTCTCCTAAAATTTTACAAAAAACCTCCTAAATTCCTAAATAAAATTTGTAATTTAGCCGTGGGAGCCCTGATATATATATTAGGGTGTCCCAAAAAAAAGAATATTTTTTTCTTCTCGTCTCTTGTGAAAATATGTTGGTTTGTCATGTTTTAAGAGCCCTGTCAAAAGATCAGCACCATTAAAAAATTTTTAGGGGTCGCTCAAGATTTTTAAAAATTACCAAAATCGTCAAAAATTGGATTTTTTTTAATTTAAAAATAATAATGATTCTGAAAATTTCAAATCGATATTTTAATTTCTAAAGGTCGCTCAAGATTTTTTTAACTTTCAAAGTAGAGTATTTTGAATGTTTTCGAGCGACCTCTGAATATAAATATCAACGAACTTTTAGCGACCTTTAGAAATCAAAATATTGATTTGAAATTTACAGAATTTTTATTATTTTCAACCTAAAAAATAATATCGAGACGAGAAAAAGAATTAAAATAAAACAAAAATTCAATTTTTGACGATTTTGAAAATTTTTAAAAATCTTGAGCGACCCCTACAAAATTTTTAATCGAGCTGATATTTTGAAAGGGCTCTTAAAGCATGATAAACTAACATATTTTTACAAGAGACAAGAAAAAAAAATAAAAGATAAAGGATTTTTGCCTTTAATGTAGTAATTTTTTAAAATTACTATTAATCTATGAAAAAGTATAATTTAAAAAAAAATGTAAAGGATATAAGTTATTTTAAAACATAAAAAAAGAAATCATGTATTTGTATCCTAAGGTCTTCTTTAATTCGCTCGATTATTACTTACAGTTTTTCATATGGTGAATTTTTGCTTTAAAACGCATTAAATTTATGAAATCATTAATAATTAATGAACGATTCTAATTTTTTGAGGAAATGAAGGGAAAATATGGTACTTTTAAACAAAAAAATGTCCATGATTCTTAGATTGTTTTTGAACAATTTATTTTTAAAGAAAGTAGTTAAAATGGCAAAAAAATAAACAAAATAAAACCCAGTTTTTTTGTATTTTAAAAATCGTTTACAACAGTCTTTTGTTTGCGTCGGGAAATGTTTTTCGAAACTCTGACAAGCTGTACAATAATAAATTATAACACCACAATCAAGAAGATTCTTTCAGCAATGGGATATCGATTACACTTTTTTGAATCGATCCATGTAGCCGAAAATTATCGAAACATTTAATCTTCTGAATAACTTTCGATATGATGTTCCAACTCGGTCTTTTGCGTTTTCACAGATTTGTTAATGTATATCCACATTCTGCAATTATTCTGTATTGGATTTAAAGATTTTGATTGCGAAAAATGTTTTTTCTACAAGCGTGCGGAAAGTTGCACATATTTCATCATAGCTGACATAGCGTATGTCGACTGTATACAGAAGAACACTGTATACACTGTTACACTTACAAGAGACTTACTAACAGAGATAATAAAGCAAATTAAAAATAAAATGTTCAGAAAACATAATTTAAAATCTGAATAAAATGGTTTATTATAATATAATATAATTATAGCATCGTTAATAAAAAGTCAACCTACAGTTAAAAAAATCATCAAAATCAGATTAGCGGTTCGCGAGTAAATTACACAATTTACATAAAAGAAAATGTAAAAAATATTAAAAAAAAATTTTTTATTATTTGCTATTTTTGTAAAATTTAAAAAAAAAACTAACAAATTATAAAGATTTTTAATTCAAATTATTTTTATTTTTAATAAAATTTGATTAAATATTAGTTATAAAACTAGTTTTATTATTAAAATAAATTTTATAATTGAATTTATTTTTTAAATATACCTAATTATTTATATCTCACAAAAATCGATTTTATGAAAATATTTAGACTTTTACGAGAAAAAAAAATAGTAATAGGAATGATTGATCCTTGGTTAATTATGGATCATTTTTTTATTTATCGTCGGTAATCCCTGGCAATTGCTATATGTCTCGGCTAATATGTGTCAAATAAAAAAATAAATAAAATATTGTACCAATTTTATACGGAAAATACTCTGTGAGACAAAGTTATCCGCAACTGGTGGGTAACTTTGCACACCCTGTTTTTATTTTTAAAACTCAGCTTTATCTAATATTATAACCTAGTTATTATAAAAATGCAACTCAAGACTCAAATTTTGGTATATAATATGTTTATGATTGTTAAAACCACAATAATTTTAAGCAAAAGTTTGAAAGTGAGCCAAAGTCACCCGTGTTTACGGTACTATTTAAATTAGTACCAGCATTGTTTACCAACAAGTAGTCGTTTTCACTTTTACCTAAATAGTTATTTTTTGCTACTTAAATAGTTATAGTTTGATTAATTTAAGATAAGTCGCCATCTTTGGCTGTTTCTGAGAGTAACTAAGTAACTAATTTCTTTAATTGTTTTTAATTCTTGCGGCCAACAACAAATTATTGTTAGTTAAATGCATATAGGCTCCATGGTTAAATGGTCCATAAAACAGACAAAAATACAAAAAGTTTAGCTCAAAACAGCAACACAAAAAAAATCAACTTTAAAGTATTATTAACAATATTTATACACAAATAAAACTAATTTTATAAAAGTGACATTAACGCACCTGTTAGCAAAAAAGTCTATGAAGGATGAATGCAATGTGAATAATAAGGTAAGCAAACTAAAAAAACTAAATGGAAAAAAGTGGCCTAACGTTTTAATTACCTACCAATTAATAAAATGATTATTTAATACTTGAACCATGAAAGTGAATTTTTAGATATTGGTACTTTTTAGAGATGTTTTTCGATGTCAGTTAATAATAATAAATTACAGGGCTCTTTAAAACAGTATTTAGTTTCAATAATAAACTAAAATGTATTTATTTAAATGTTAAGTCACATTTAAACAAAAAATAAAACAATCACCAAGTAAACAAAGAACGTAGTCGAGTAGGCTAGTTTTAATGTTTGCATATTTTTTTTAACATAGCTATGTACCTAGGTACCGTTAACCTAATTAATAATAGCCATTCTACAAAAAATACATTTCATCAATAACCTAAATTCGCTAATATAGTATTTTATATAAATATTTAGAAGAATATACAAACTAAACTTTTATTTAATTATTATAAATAAAAATATTTACTGTGAACCAATACCTACACCAAAAATAATTTTTATTTTTATAAATAAAACTAGAAGTACCTACTGTGTTCTTTTTATCCTTAGCTTTTATTTACCCAACTGGCAACACTGTATGGATGTCACAAAGCACATTATAATTATGTGGATGTCACATGGCATGGGTTATAAAAATGTATATTTGATATACGGCGGAGCTCACAACGATATGTTTAATATATTTTTTTAAATGTGTATGGTTGAGTTTTTAAAACTGAAAACAAATGGAAATATTATTTCCAAAAAAGCATATTTTTTATTTATTTATCAGTCTGCTCTTTGGGGTGGATGTTACAACGACACAATTTTTACGGGATGTCACAAGATACGGAGTATAGCTATATATACATATATATATATATATATATATATATATATATATATATATATATATATATATATATATATATATATATTAGGGTGTCCCAAAAAAAAGAATATTTTTTTCTTCTCGTCTCTTGTGAAAATATGTTGGTTTGTCATGTTTTAAGAGCCCTGTCAAAAGATCAGCACCATTAAAAAATTTTTAGGGGTCGCTCAAGATTTTTAAAAATTACCAAAATCGTCAAAAATTGGATTTTTTTTAATTTAAAAATAATAATGATTCTGAAAATTTCAAATCGATATTTTAATTTCTAAAGGTCGCTCAAGATTTTTTTAACTTTCAAAGTAGAGTATTTTGAATGTTTTCGAGCGACCTCTGAATATAAATATCAACGAACTTTTAGCGACCTTTAGAAATCAAAATATTGATTTGAAATTTACAGAATTTTTATTATTTTCAACCTAAAAAATAATATCGAGACGAGAAAAAGAATTAAAATAAAACAAAAATTCAATTTTTGACGATTTTGAAAATTTTTAAAAATCTTGAGCGACCCCTACAAAATTTTTAATCGAGCTGATATTTTGAAAGGGCTCTTAAAGCATGATAAACTAACATATTTTTACAAGAGACAAGAAAAAAAAAATAAAAGATAAAGGATTTTTGCCTTTAATGTAGTAATTTTTTAAAATTACTATTAATCTATGAAAAAGTATAATTTAAAAAAAAATGTAAAGGATATAAGTTATTTTAAAACATAAAAAAAGAAATCATGTATTTGTATCCTAAGGTCTTCTTTAATTCGCTCGATTATTACTTACAGTTTTTCATATGGTGAATTTTTGCTTTAAAACGCATTAAATTTATGAAATCATTAATAATTAATGAACGATTCTAATTTTTTGAGGAAATGAAGGGAAAATATGGTACTTTTAAACAAAAAAATGTCCATGATTCTTAGATTGTTTTTGAACAATTTATTTTTAAAGAAAGTAGTTAAAATGGCAAAAAAATAAACAAAATAAAACCCAGTTTTTTTTGTATTTTAAAAATCGTTTACAACAGTCTTTTGTTTGCGTCGGGAAATGTTTTTCGAAACTCTGACAAGCTGTACAATAATAAATTATAACACCACAATCAAGAAGATTCTTTCAGCAATGGGATATCGATTACACTTTTTTGAATCGATCCATGTAGCCGAAAATTATCGAAACATTTAATCTTCTGAATAACTTTCGATATGATGTTCCAACTCGGTCTTTTGCGTTTTCACAGATTTGTTAATGTATATCCACATTCTGCAATTATTCTGTATTGGATTTAAAGATTTTGATTGCGAAAAATGTTTTTTCTACAAGCGTGCGGAAAGTTGCACATATTTCATCATAGCTGACATAGCGTATGTCGACTGTATACAGAAGAACACTGTATACACTGTTACACTTACAAGAGACTTACTAACAGAGATAATAAAGCAAATTAAAAATAAAATGTTCAGAAAACATAATTTAAAATCTGAATAAAATGGTTTATTATAATATAATATAATTATAGCATCGTTAATAAAAAGTCAACCTACAGTTAAAAAAATCATCAAAATCAGATTAGCGGTTCGCGAGTAAATTACACAATTTACATAAAAGAAAATGTAAAAAATATTAAAAAAAATTTTTTTATTATTTGCTATTTTTGTAAAATTTAAAAAAAAAACTAACAAATTATAAAGATTTTTAATTCAAATTATTGTTATTTTTAATAAAATTTGATTAAATATTAGTTATAAAACTAGTTTTATTATTAAAATAAATTTTATAATTGAATTTATTTTTTAAATATACCTAATTATTTATATCTCACAAAAATCGATTTTATGAAAATATTTAGACTTTTACGAGAAAAAAAAATAGTTTTACACAAATGTCAAAATTGTAATAATAATAATAATTATAAATCGATTTTATGACAATGTTTAGTCTTTTATGAAAATCCTTTTTTTACACAAATGTCAAAATTATGAAGTAATCGGTATTTTATTAGAATAATTTGCATTTTTGTAAAATTGCTTTAAAATTATAAAGATTTTTCACTTAAATGTTTTTTCTAAATTTTTATTTTTTTCTAATTATTTTCTAATAAAAAGTTTTTTGTAATTAATATTAAAAATTATTTTAATAAAAATAATAAAAACAACTCAAAATCATTATAATCAACAACAGATCTAAAACTTACTTAAAAAACCGATAAAATTTATAAATTTTTTGGACATGTCTCATATTTAAGCAAAAAAATTAAATAAAAATTAATTTTTAAACCTATATACAGGGTGCACAAAGTATCCTTTTTATTTGAAGTCGGTTTAATTAGAAAATTAGAAAAAGTAAGTTTAACATGTAAATATAAACATTTTTCTACATTTTCATTAAATTTGTGATTTTTTTCACCTACTGGATTTTCAGATACCAACGCCATCTTTTGTTTTTCTTATGGCTGCCATATTGAAATTTTACATGGTTAGATATAAAAAATGAAGGAATCCAATGATGTATCAAACTACTGTTATGACGGCCATTATGAAAGCAAAATATGGTGATAACACAAAACCTCAAAACTTTGTTTCAAAATTCCCAGGAATAACAAAGTTATAACGATTTTTAGTTTTAAAAGGTTTTTTACCAATTTATAAATTTCATGTAAAAAAAATACCCATAGAAATATACTTGGTATTTCACATTCATGGTCCTTTAGAAGTTTCTGGGGAACGAAAAATGATATCTATTTGAAAATTTAAAAGCGTTTATAATCCATTTAAGTCTATTTTTATAAAATATTTTAAACAAAATGCCACTTCCGGTTTGTGTGACATCAACTTTGTTATTTCAAATATATTTTTAATTCTGAGTAAAATGACTAAACCATGGTATATACTAAAGTGAATAGTTTTCAAGTTTTTAATTTTTTTTTTTCGGTAGAAAAATATACTTAATTGGATTAAAAACGCTTTAACAATTTCAAATCGATATCTTTTAATTGAACACGAACGAGGAACAACCGGTTTAAATATATTTAAAAATTAAAATAATAATATTAATATTTAAGAATTTAAATATTTTTAAATTTTTGTATTAATTTAATATTAGATTTAAAACCTTAAATTTTATTTATTTAATAATTTTAGTTTCTTATAAAATTAATAATTAATTACTTTAAACAGGGTAAAATCGTGAGCATAGACGGCTCGATGATCACGGTGATGCCCAAACACGAAGAACTAAAAGATCCCTTAGTATTCCAAGCTAACGAACTGAGAAAGTACTTCAAAATGGGCGACCACGTCAAAGTTCTTTCCGGTAGATATGAAGGAGACACCGGACTAATTGTTCGCGTGGAAAACAACCGCGTTGTTTTAATTTCCGACCTGACTATGCACGAGATGGAAATTTTGCCCAAAGATTTGCAACTTTGCACGGACATGGCGTCTGGGGTGGATTCCCTAGGTAAATTCGAGTGGGGAGATCTCGTAAATCTCGACGCAGAAACTGTTGGTGTTATTGTACGATTGGAACGAGAAAATTTCCACGTTCTAAATATGCACGGTTAGTACTTTTTATCTAAATATTTTTCGTATACTGTCCTGAAACGCAGCTATATGGAACGCCGTTGTATTTTTTAATCAGGAATTTCTAATATCACTTTTGAATTTCAGATATCTGAAATTAATTTCAGATATCTAAAATTATAGGTATTAAAAAGTACTTTGGCGTTCCGTTAACGCCAAAATATTTTTTAATCAGGAATTTTTGTTGTAACTTCAACTAAAAGCCATATTTGTAATTACAATTAATTGTGTCAAATGTTTTAAACAATATTTATAATTCAACTAATTTTAAACTCAAAAATAATGTGGAATTAAAAATATCAAAGTGACCCTAAAATTAAAGTCAATTTTTAATTCAAAGTGATATTTGTAATTCACAGGAATTATCAATATCAAAGTGACCAGAAAATTCAAGTTAATTTTTAATTCAAACTGATATTCATAATTCGCATGAATTATAAATATCAACTTGAATTTTTAATTCAACTTATTTTCAACTAAAAAATGATGTAGAATTAAAATATTAAAGGGAAACTAAGAATTATTTGATATTTTTAAATGAAAGACATATTTTTAATTCCCACAGTTTGGACACCCCTGGTAATGTTGACGGTTCAATTTATCTACTACAGTAGGTATATTTGCCTTAATCTCAGTTCAATTATTTTGCGGCACTATTTTTGTTTATATAATAACGTTTTTATTAATACTTACCTATGTAGTAAATATACCAACAATTTTAGCTTCGTTCCCGGCAGAGATAAACCTAGATAGATTTATCTAGGGAGATAAAGAAGGTTAGGTTTCCCGGCGGGAAATTCTCGCATTGTCAAATTTGTAGTAGTTCAACTGACTCAGTTGACCTACTTAACGATTTATGAGAATACCTGTGTAAATATTTAAAATATTAGGTAATTTAATTAATATTAATTATTATGTCTATTATTAATAAAAACGGTATTATATAAACAAACAGTGCCGCAAAATAATGTAACTGAGATTAAAGCAAATATACCTACTTTAGTAGATAAATTGAACCGTCAACATTTCCAGGGATGTCCAAACTGTGGGAATTAAAAATATGTCTTTCATTTAAAAATATCAAATAATTCTTAGTTTCTCTTTAATATTTTAATTGTACATCATTTTTTAGTTGAAAATAAGTTGAATTAAAAATTCAAGTTGATATTTATAATTCATGCGAATTATGAATATCAGTTTGAATTAAAAATTAACTTGAATTTTCTGGTCACTTTAATATCGATAATTCCTGTGAATTACAAATATCACTTTGAATTAAAAATTGACTTTAATTTTAGTGACACTTTGATATTTTTAATTTCACATTATTTTTGAGTATAAAATTAGTTGAGTTATAAATATTGTTTAAAATAATCGATACAATTAAAAATATGACTAGCAGTTGGAGTTGCAACAAAAATTCCTGATTAAAAAATACAACGGCGTTCCATACAGCTACAACATAGGTTCGTTTTGTAGCACAATTTTAAAAGTTCTTACTCTAAAATGCCTGACATGTAAAAAAGAAAATTTAGAATATGAGGAGCATTTTGGAATGTCAAAAGTTCATTTTAATACCTTAAAAATTATTCTTGGAAGGTTTTAAAAAAATTTTAAAATTGGATAATTTAAACAAACCATCTTTTGGAATATCAAAAATTCTAATTCTAATTAAGTTTACTTAATTGTTCTACACAAGGAGACAAACTCCATGTATACAAATGGCTTCCCAAAATAAGGGCGCTACCGAAATAGACGATAATCAGCGCCACTAGTGGTGAAAAAAGAAAACGTAATTTATGCGGTTTGGTAGGCAGTTTCTGTAAATTCCCCCTATTTAGTTTGTACTCCTTGTGTGGGCTCCATTTTATTTTTATTTATTTATTACATATAAATATATACCTTCCAATAAGCTTATAGCTTGTCTAGGCATTAATATATTATATTTTGATTATAGTTTGATTATGTAATTCAAAACATTATAATAATGTTTTGAATTACATATTCAAACTTGCTACACTTAATCCTTCTTATATTTATCATAATGGAAGTTTCTTTCCATTATCTTTTCTTATTTATTAAATTTTAAATATTTACATCCATATCTCCTTTGAAAAAACTTTCTCTTTAAATTACCAAATTTTATATTTTAATACAACCAATTTTGACCTATATTTTTTACATGAACTTTATATGGAAATAAAATTAATTAATGTTAAAATTACTAGATTGTCCAAAAACATGTTATAAATATATTTTTCAAAAGGATTTAACATGTTTTCAAACTTAAAATGTTGGTTAAAGTTCCTTTTTTTTGGTCTATACTTTTAGTGACGTTTTATACCTCTAAGGGACAACGTCTGAAAATAATTACAAGTTCAAATGATGATAAGCTAAAATAACGAAAAAATGTGGGTGGCCATATTATTTCCAAAACCTCAAATTAAAAAAAATCGTAACATGAAAAGTTTTCCGTTCGCTAAAATGCGTAATTTTAGTAATAAAGAACAAAATATCATTTTAATTTTCCCCCAAATTTGGTTGAATAATCTCCACTCTTTCGAAAAGTAAGCAATTTCCGGTAAATGGTCGAAAAATAAAAAATGGACTTGAGCCTATTTGGCACCCGAAAATTTGGTCTACAGACGAGACAACTTGGCAGAAAAAAAGAATAAAAATTTCGAGTTTCCACCTTTATCGGTTTTTAAGCTACAAGATATAAAAAGTGGTTCAAAATTCGATAGCGAAAATAATCGAGTTCTGAAAAACTTTTTTCCGAAAACCAATAAAGGTGAAATTGGTATCTATTTTATGGCCAATTGTAGTTGCGGATCTAATTTTGTAAGTGTGGAAAAGGCCCAAGTCCAATTTTTTTTTATTTGTCCGTCAAATTTCGGCCATTTACAGAAAATCGTCTACTTTTCAAACAAGTGGAGATTTTTCAAACAAATTTGGGGAAAAGTTGCTTCGGGAAGGTAGTTCGATCCTTAATGAAAACATGTCGAATCCGTTGAAAACTTTTCGAGTAATCTATGAATGTAATGTAATAAATGTCTAAATGACAAGTTAAAATTATGACAGTCTAAAATAACGACAGGTTCAAATGAAGACATGCCAAAAAGATTATATAATATATAATTTGTCGTTCTAGCTTATCATTAGATGTTAACTAAATGACAAACTAAAGTTAAAATGCTCAAATAAAGACTGACTGATTTATTTCATGCCTGGTGGATGTATTACAAATACAAATTGATGTGTATTTATTTCAGGCAAAGTAGTGGAGGTGCGCCCAGGTTCCCTGCAAAAACGCCGCCTTAATCGTTTTACGGCGGCGCTCGATTCCTACAGAAACAACTTGCACCGCCGCGACATGGTCAAAGTGATCGACGGACCGCATAACGGTTTTTCCGGCGAAATCAAACATATCTACCGAAATTTCGCGTTTTTGTACTCCGTCACTTTCCTGCAAAACGGCGGTATTTTCGTCTGCAAAACCAAACATCTGCAGCTAGCGGGCGGTAATAAGACGCTGCCCAGTGCAGAAATCGGTTCGGGGATGGAGTTTATGTCTCCGAGGAGAGCCAGTCCGATGCATCCATCGAGTGGAGGCGGCGGTGCAGCAGGAGGAGGAGGAGGTGGTGGAGGTTAGTAAAACATTTTTTTTAGATTTGCCTCATCTAACGGCGTTTATATGCATTTTTGTTCAGAGCTGTTCCGAGTACAATGAAAAAGTACTCGAGTACTGAATACAAGTACTCTTATAAAATAGTACTCGAGCACCGCATTAAAATGTACTCATTGCATACTTCGGATGTACTCGAGTACACGTAAAAGTACTCGAGTACACGGGAAAGTACTCGAGTACAGGGGAAAGTACTTGAGTACATTTTTGCAATCTTAAATGTATCAAGTACAAGTATAAGTACATTCAAATTAAAGTACTCGGGACTGAGTACCGAGTACACTGAAAGTACTTGGAGTACAGTGTTTGAGTACTTGTACTCGAGTACCGCACAGCTCTGTTTTTGTTTGACACAGTCAAAATTTTTCAATAATAAATGATTACAAGATTAAATTTCTAAATAAGAAGCTAAAATGAATATAAGGTAAAATAATGGCAAACTTAAATGACAACATGTCGATTTAGCCGGATATTTTTTAACTTTTTACGAAAATGGGGGGGTTTGACGTATTAATTTGAGTTAACCCCCTCGTGATTTTAACCCCCAAATTTCTTAGAGTAAAATTAACAAACCACCAAGTTTGAGTTAAAAGTCCAAACAACCTAACCTCTAGTGGTATTTGTTAAGAAAATTCCATGAGTAAATAAATTAAGTCATTTTTGTGTCACTGGCATTTCTGTACCTTCCTTTTTATCCATCAGCAAACCATACTTTTGACAGTTTTTAATAGGTTTAAATGGACAGAAGTGGAATTGTCATTAAAAATATTAGCGATTTATTTATTTTTAGCATACATTTTTAATATAAAAATACAAAAATGGTAAATTTGTTAAAACAAAATTAATTCGTGAAAAAAGCGTACAAGAATCAGAGAAAACTGTCACCACAATATTATTGCTTAAAAGCGGCTTATCACTGACATAAGTAATTAAAATAATTATAATAATAACTTTATTTACGGATTAACACTTTACAAAAATATTTTCATACATTTACATATGAAACGCACAAAAATGAAAAGTCTAAATTAAATTGATTTGCATCAGCACATATGCGATTTAGCGAGTTACATTTTACATACTCTGTTGAAAAATAAATTATTTTGTCTTGTTTGTCAGTGTGGCACGTTAAAATTTATTTGGTTGAGCAACTCAGAGCTGTTTAAGAAATTATTCAATAATTTATAGAGAAAAACAAGACTGTGCTGTTCTCCTTTGACCTAATAATCTTAAATTAGTAATATTTTTAACAAAGATGTAGTCAATGTTATCGGTACTTATATTTAACTTAAAAGCACAAAATCGCAAAAATTAATTTTGGACTCTTTTATTCGTGTGTGTATATACTTTAAAAAATAAGGAGACCATACAACACAAAAGTACTCCAACACACTTTGAACAAACAACATTTAATATACAAAGTTATATTATATATAATACATTGTTTACCATAGAATCGTAACTGAAGAGTCAACCTACAATTAAAAAAAAAATCATCGAAATGACCGGTTCGCGAGGAAATCAACACTAAAATTGTGATAGTTTAACGTAATATAGTTTATTTAAAACACTGCAAAATGGCTAAATTGCCTTAAGCTCACCACCCAACCACACACCTCTATTCAATGAATACATATCGGTGTAACGGACAAAGAATAACTGAAATAGACGTACTTTTGCAAAGCACATGCTTTAGGGGAATTACCTAATTATTTAGGGGAATTACCCTGTATAATCCTCAAAATTTATAGTTACGTCATTGGTCAATAGATTATTTTAATCTAACAAATTTCTAAATTTATTATGATGTATGTAAGTACTTCCCATTAAAAGCATTAATAATAAAAATTATAATTATTATGTCAAAAATACCTATATTTACTGAATTTACTGGATATACCTATAGCTAAATCTTCTTTCTTCAGTTATTTTCAATATGGCTACGAAACTTGCACAAGATCAGTGATGGGCGGTAGGTATATAACCAATGGGTAGGTAAATAAAATTTGGGTATTATACTGCTTTGTAGGTAAAAGTAAAGAAGTAAAAAAATTACATATAATTTATATACAATTTTTTTTTAATTTAAAAATATTGCATTAGACGTTAAAATTTATAAAAAAATATATAAAAAAATATTTTTGTTTTGTTTAACTTTTTTTTTCAATTAACATGTATTTTTTAACATGTGTTCATTATTTTTCGTTTTATTTCGATTTATTCAATTACTTATTATTCCTAATTTAATTACAATTTGTTAAACTACCTTAAATTAACAAAGTAGCAATACTTTGGTATTTATCAAATACCGGTATATACCGGGTATATGGTAAAGACCAAATTGAATACACCCTGAATTTACCCATTGGGTAAATACCAGATGCATAACTGCACAAGATGCAAAATCTGTAAATTTTATTTAATTTATCCCCGACGTCAATGCTCTGCATTTTGAATAAACCTAAATCCACACAACAAGGTCTGTTCTATCTCGTACTAAAAATACTAAAAATCACTGCAACACTGCACTTAACGGCGGCCATTTCTGTAGTTTAAAATTCTTATGCTTTGTATTTGTGCTGTTTATATAGATTAATTATCGTTTTAAACGTTGTTTCTCACAGAGGCACTTGTAAGCCTTAAAATAGGCCATAAAGTGCTAAGGGCAACCATTTTACTCCTCTTTTATAAAAAATAAACCTTATTCTATCAAACTGTCAAATGTTAATTTTAAGGTCAATTTACCATAACCCACAAATTAACCTTAAAATCAACATTTCACAGTTTGATGACAGCCCTGATAGAATAAGGTTTATTTTTTACAAAATAAGAGTAAAATGGTTGTTTTTAGCATTTTAAGGCCTCTTTTTGTTAAAAAAACACTAAGTTTAAAACCATTATTAATCTGTATAAACAGAGCACAAACCCAAAGCACAAGAATTTTAAACAAAACCGTTAACTATGATTTCGCGAAAGAATCGAACGATTTTGGGGTATTTTTTTATAACACATCTCGGATTTTTTTTATATTTTAATATTGTGTTTATACATCTTATTCCACCCTAAATCTAAAATTTTTCTTTTATCTGACCTAAACTTTGGCTCCCATAGACCATTTAATTTTACCTTTCGCAAAAAGCCATAATTTCATTATATTGGCATAATTTTTTTATTAAAATACTGAATGTTTTGAGATGTGGTCCATAAATGACCCCTATTAGTACCTACAATTTTACCAAAAAAAAAATTAAATTTTTTACATATAGGTGGCGCTGCAATTTTTTCTTTTTCAAAAATAGACGTTTTTTGAGGACCAAAAACTCTCTTAAGCAACAATGCTCAAAAAAACTAAATAGTATACCAGATAATATACTTATTCCTTTATAATTTGATATATAAAAATTTACTTGCAAATGATGTTGCCGCCCGTAAAGCCAACTTAAAGTTTTGTTTACCGCATTAAAAAAAATTGAATTACACTTACAACTTTATTCTTATTTATTAACTAAGGAATTCCAGGAGATTACTTTTATTGGTAACAATAACACAGCAAAAATTTTTTTTATTTTTTTCACACCCAGGGGGCGCTGCAGCCTTTTTTCTTTAAAAACTATATAGCATTTCAGATAATATAGTTATGTATAAAGAGTTACGTATTCCATTCATTATTTATTTAATAGGTTTGTTCTTTATTTTATTTATTATGTTTTTCTTTATTATTATTATTGATATTACTATTTCTTTATTATTTAACATATAACAATTTATCTGCAAGATTTGCATATATTAAATAATAAAGATATATCCTAATAATTATTATAATAATAATAATTATTACCTTTACATTAAATTTTAAACTTGTTGGGCTCTAAGGAGTATATTCGCTAACTTTTTAGTTATAAATAACCCTGGTTTATATCCTACTGGCTGGTTCAAATCTCTAGAGCGATTCTCAGAATCAGTCTAGAGATTTTAACCAGGGTTATTTATAACTTAAAAGTTACTTAGGCCGCAAAGGAACTACTTTAAAACTGATAAAACTTCAAAAAAACTTCATCCGCTTCTGGGCTAATTTCTTCAATTTCTTCCGGCAAATTTTTTAATTTTCTTTTTCTATTTTTGCTTAACCTTCTATCTGACGATAATCTTGATAATAAGCCGCGTATCTGATTAGGATGCATATACTCGTTTGAAGAAAACTAAAATTTGCCATTTACTTCATAATTTTGTAAAGCTGTTGCTATATATTCAGGCGTATATTTAATTTTAGTTTTTTCACCTTCTTCAAAAAGGTTGCCAATAAAATCTTTTTGTTTTTCATTAAAACGTCATTTTTTTATTTTGCGCCTTCCGAACCCTTTTGCAAATACTCGAAGAAACGTATTTTAATCTTCTTCATTTGGGCATATATTGACGGTAGATATTGTTGAACTAGTTGCAGTTAAAACATCTTTTTGTTTTAAAAATTCCATTCTAGCAACATCACCTATAGTTTATCTAATTTCAGGAAATTTATGATTTTGAAATTTAAGGTGGTTTAGAAGATCATCTTCATTTTCAAAAACCCTACTGCAAAGTAATTCGTCGCACCTATATTTAATTGCTTTTAAATTATTTAGATTTTCCTTTTGTCGACTCGATGATGTCCAAGGAACTTTCATGTTTACTCCAGAAGAAAATTCAATTCCTAGAATTTTGATTTACTTAAAGAAAATTTATTAACTTTGCGTACTATGCTCCACACTTCAAAGTCCCACCACGTGACCAGGTACGGAACGCAGTCTTTTGAAAATTTGTCATTTAAGGCTTTTCAGGTTATGTATCTGTCAAAGTATAGTCAATGAAAGAAATAATATTTATGTTTATGTTTAAGCGTTAAAAGTTTATAAATCTTTATAGTATCACAGTAACAATGGTTGGTTTAAGAGTTTAGGAGTATAAATACTGCATTTAATGAAATTC